ACACACACACACACACACACACACACACACACACACACACACACACTGAAACAAATGCATAAAGCTTCAAACTTTCAACAGAAGTTTCTACAGAGCTACTCACATGTCCTGCCCTCAGGTTTCAGATGCTTGGATGCTTCAGGGACAAATTACTGCGGAGGCTGCTCTGCTGGATCCCAAGGTGAGAAGGGAATAAGGAGACAAGGAACTAAGGATTAAAGGGAAAAGGAGACTGACATTCCATCAGAACCCCTGTGGAGCTGCAGCGGGGACGAGTCGACCGGCTGTGATTTCTTAGCCTGGAGAAAGGCAGAGCTGTGAGGAACACGCAGGTACGCAAGGTTAATTCCCTCTTTATCTCCATCTTTGTGTTTTATCTGCCAGGCGGCAGACTTTGCTCGCTGTCTGGAGTTGATGTATGCTCGCTAGGTTTAATGGCAGCTGCGTATGTGATTCGTTTGTGAGCAGGGATGTGGCCTCGGATGTGGCTTTTAATTCCCCTGTGTGCAGCAGCTGTGTGTGCAGGTAAACCACACATACACAATCGCTCACACACACACACACACCTGCGTTCAGACACGTGCAGCTCGTCCACCTGTTCCTCCACGCAGACAAGACAGAAACCGAGCACAAAGCAAACGTACCCGTGGCTTTTCTGCAGGTGTGAGCGGTGCTCAGGTCTACAGGAACGGCTCGACAGAAATGTGTCGTCATCGGTGCGATGAGCTTCTGGATTTRATCTCAGAGATCCACGGTCTGAGGGTTGTCACCAACAGCCTGCTGGGAGACCTGGAGAAAGTAGTAAGATCCCCTGATTTGACTTGTTTTTTTAAYCATAAAAACCATGCTGCAAAAATAAAAAAATTTCATCAATAAAAAGTTAAATAACATTATTTTAAAGTAAGTAAACTGTGCTGTGAAATACATCTTTTAAAGCTCCCAAATATTTAGAATTTTTAATATCATTTAGGAAAAAAATATTTCTCAGACTTTTTATGGCTGAGAAGTTTTTTATGGCAAAAAAAAGGGATAACTTTGTAGTGTGAAATTGCATGTTTTAGTGAGAACTGTTATTTATTATTAAGTTTGAGCTTTATTAAGCCARTCGTAAATAAATAACCAATAAACGTCTGTCATTACTCATGCTGATGTTCTCTAAAACAGTGGTTCCCAAAGTTGGGGTTAGGACCACTCTGTGGATCATGAAACCTCAAGTGAGGGTCCTGAGATGATTTCCAGTCATGCAAATAAATTGTTAATGAAATATTTTCATCATAATTACTGAAATAAACAATAATAATCAATAAATCATGAAAATGAACAAATGTAGCATAGTTATTAGGTTTGCTTATATTGTTATTATGCCCATGTTTAACAGATTTGTTAGCAAAGTTGACATAATAAAGCAGTAATATCTGCGGTCACACATTTCTGCAGCTGGTATTTTGTTCACTAAAACATTTGCTAAATCTACAGTACAGAGG